CCTAGTTGTGCATTTGAAAGAAAAACATAACTATTCTAAAACGAAACAACCAAAACTAGAATATTGAGATCTGTTGATTTCTAAAGTTTGCGTTTAGTTTATATCCCTTCTCCAACTGAAAGCATTTTGTTTAGCCCTGGGAACGTTCTCTTTATTAGTTTATTTAATTATTCAATTTCAATTATTACAGGTGCATATTGAGAATGGTAAAGTGTTAGATCCAATTGATCATAAGTATCTAATATTGGACAAGTCTTTAAAAAACCACCAATTGCAAATTAACGAAAGCTTACTGAACGATTACGCAAAGTTGAATCGTTCTGTTGCAAGGTAAAAATGCGGTGTTTTTGGGCTACGAAACATCTACAGCGCACTACTAGACTTTTTTGGCCAACTATTTCAAGTGTCACTTGGACTACATAAACGATTATACCAAATAATTTTTTAATTATATATTCATTTTTTTGTAAGGTTCATACTACTTTCGCAATGCTTGGGCCCTAATATGGACTCATTTTTGCTGGCAACAGCATTCACTGTGCTCGGTTGCTGAGGAATGCTCTCAATCCTGAAGATGTTTGGAGTAAGTTACTGTTTGAATGAACAGGTAGCTCAATCGCGGAAAGTGAAAGACGTAAATAACTTCACTGTACAGTACTACCATAGACAGTATTACCATGTTTCAATTTCTTTTCTCATAGTTACCTTTGTTTTTAACGTCTTCGTCATTTAGGAGAGAGTTCTATTGGCATGATATTCTCCGAAGAAAGGAGCATAGGGAAATCGGAGAGTCTAAATCTCCTTGCTCGGGGTGTTGGAATTCCCAATCGATTGCACGTAATGTTACTAAGTGGTGGAGACTCCCAGACATGTGGACATCTACGTGAGTTTCACGTTAAAATTATACGTTGTGTATAAAAAATTTTTTCGCAAATGTTTGAAAAGCAGACTTCAATTATTTTAATTAGAAAGAAAATGCAAGAGATAGCATCGAGAACGACTGGGGTCATAATGATTGATGACCCTAAACCCAATGTTAACTTTAACGAGTTTCTGCTGCAAGCACAAGGGCGACTGATGTCTGGATCAAATAAGGTGGGGATGACATCCATCAAGGCCGCCACGTTAATATCGACGAATTCTCCCGAAGTTTCCCGGTAGTACACTTATGCAATTATTAATGAATTGTCTTTTAATTCTTAAACTGAAATTACGTTATTAACATTAACCTTCGAAATCTGTTTCATTGTAGATTAGTAGGGAGAGTTATTAGGTTTAATTACGTGAGCTGGAACAAGGAACGGAATGAACAAGCCAAGTTTAACGACAAGCAACTGAAGGTTATGCGAGAGTTCATGCAAGAAAACAAGGTATATTTTAGTCTATATGGAAATGTAAACGTCGTGTACTTCAACTTAATCATAAGTTATTTTAGGCTACTATACCTTCAAAATCCATGACCAATATGTCATTGTTATATAGGGTATTTTGCTTGTCTGGGCAATTAAATACCTGGAGTTATGGGCTGAGGTTTTTGAACATGCGCGTGAAATTGTCGAAGAGGTCGTCCAAGCGATCTTCGATGAAAACGACCTGAAGGTGCAGGCAAGGTGGTTGTCTGGTATTGCCGCGGTACTTGTCGCAAATGCTCTGGTATGTGAAACTCAAATAACTCGCAAAAAATAGATCGGACTAGTTTTCAATAATAGAGTTCATTTTTAAATGACTTATGTTTCTCATTCTAGTTACGTCTCTCGTGTGGTAACCAAGCGAACACCAAAGATTATGTATTGTTTGCATGCGGCGAGTTATTAAAGGTGCAGACAGTAAGCATACGTTCAACAATGCAAAGGCTAGAAGCTTACATCATTGAAAAGATAGCCGAGGAAAAAGACCGGGTTTGTTTTCTTTCATTTTTCTATTTACATAAAAAAAATTCCGGAAAAATAAAGTATTAAATGGCGCCATATACACAGTGTTCGATTTCCTTGGATATAACATTCACAGATTTTGCTGATCTCTTTTAAGATTCTTACATGGCTGCACCCTAAAGTTACTGTCAACAACATCGAAGGGATGAAGGTTCCAGGCATTGCGCTACTGTCAACTGCTGTCGACAGTTTTGTCGATATTTCACATACAGTGAGTAACACGTACAGTGTTGGAGTCTAACGCGGTCTTGTGACTGCATTTCACAAAATGTTTGTTGTTTTAATAGGAATTCAAAGAATTGCAAAGTACGCTTGTACGGGAGCCGGGGACAATAGGGATATACTTCGGCAAAGACAGGGAATGCACCTTGGAGCAAATGATTAAAAGGAAACACGTTTGCCAGAAAAGAGCGTACCGAATTCCTCTGGGGAAACTGATGCCATTCACGCAACATATGATAGCGTATGGTAAGAAAGTTTTAAATAAAGTTTCTATGCAATTCTTTCTGGTTCGAAGTTTAGGCTTGTTTTGTATCTTGAATGTAATCGTTTTTCTAACAATATTACTCATTAGCCAGTGGAATTCGGGATGATGCCCCCAATGAGAGTGATATGGAAGAAATGAACAATCCAGCAACAACAATATCGGACGAAGGTTGCGAAAGGTTGGACACTCTCGAAAACGAGTTGAGGATAAAGTTAGAAGGTATACAGAAATAACAGAATCAGATGAGGATTACTATTTGAGTATTTCATCAGCATATTAAATTTTTGAAACCTTTAATAACACATTTGTATAGCATTTAAAAATAGTCAAGTCATGCAATATCGCGAAAATACAACTACACCTACCGAAAGTGAAGAGGAGCTCGACTTCAGTTTTACAGAGGTATGCAGGCTTACTCAGTTAGGAGATTGTATGAGCAGTTTAACGACTTGTCTAATCTGTGTTTCACGGTGTATCCTTGGCTATTCAAATAGAAACTTACACCGAACACAAAGGCTAGATATAACAACCTGACTCCAAGAAAAAGGAAAACATTTGCTTGGGTATGTCATATTAAATTATCAAAACGAATTACTAACGAGTTTTGATGCTTTTGTAGTTTTTTTAATGTTTTTTTAACGATGTTATAAAGTTTTAAGCGTTACAAGTTTTTCTGTGATTAATTTACAGGCCATTGAAGTCGCGCAAAAAATAATAAAGAGACCCGAAATAGGTTCGTTTTATTTGACTTATTCAGCTTGCATGCGAATATTTATGCTCGTTACTACAGTTGCGTGCACCTGACTCAATGCAATACCTGTTGCTGCCCGGCATACAATTCATTTACGTTATTTTGCTCTTTCCAATTATCTTAGATCACAATACAACAGACGTGAGAACTTCCCAAGACAAAATTCCCGATTCAACCCCAATAGCAACTGGCGATCAAAACGTCTGCGAGCAAGCAAATGAAATGCCTGCAAGAGGTAAACGATATACGATGTGTCTTGTGTGGTTTGCAAGTACGATTATATAAATTACTGTATATATAATATATATATATAACATAAATATGTCTATGCCTTTTAACTAATTACAGGTGAATCGCACACCAGAAAGCAATTATTTGCAGAAGGTGCTATTGGCGTTCTTCCTCGGAGTAAGTAAAAGAAGTTCTGATTAACAAGTGTGTCTGTCCAAATCCATGCACTTTTTGCATCAACATTTTGATGAGCATATTTTCTTTTTTTAAATCACATATAGGCTCTACACGATCTGATAATAAGAGTGTTGGGACAACTGCTGGGACGAGTGGATTATCATGTCCTCCGAATTCCGGCAAAATTAAAGTATACAAATGGTGTTCATGCAAAGAGGTAAATCATACATCTAGTTCTATGACGTACTTATACAATTTTTCAATATCTGCATAATTTTCCCACTGTTTGGACGAGACGGTAACTTTCGGACGGGAAACTTGCGTGTCCCCGAATTCATATTGGACCAGTGCAATTCCTGTCTAAGTCCTTTTTATTCATGCATGATACCAGCATTAAAGGAAAATACATTATCATCATTGATCAGTTTATTTACATTAGTTTTCCCCCTAAGTTCTCTTACCGGCTAGAACTTCTGAACTTTGTGTCACGCAGTTCTGAATTAAGAGCAAGTTGCACGATGTATATACAATGTATATACAATGATGTATATACCATAATCGTTCCAGGAAAGAGATAAAGAATCGGAGGACATGATGCTGATATGTGAAACCACAAACAAAAAGAACGTATGTATAAAATAGTACATATAGACTAGATTCGATTTTGCATTGTGCTCAAATGCAGTAAAACAGTTAAGCTCGCATATATTTTCTCAGTTCCGAGAGTTTCTTGTCCCAGAACCTTATGTACGAGAAATTTATAAAAGCAATCTTATGTTGTCTGGTTGAGGTTTCTATGTTCATTCCACTATCTGTAAAATAAACGATACTACATCTCGTATCCCACTAATAGTTTCCTTAAAACTTAATGTCGGTCAATAACTGCTTATTTTTCAACCATAACTATAGTGTCCAGGTAAAGGCTACTACCATCAGGAGTGCCTAGGAATTGAAAGAGTACCTAAAGGAAAGTGGTAAGTCAATACATTTACAGTAATGTTAATACTTCAACGTCCTATAAATATGATTGACGTTCAAACAAGTTGTTTTTTTCATTATAGGCTGTGCGACTTCTGCAAACAGAAATCTAAAAAATAATTTAATTGGAAAACATTAAAGAACGAATAAACCGTCCAGTTGCTTGCTAAAGATATGAAAAGTTATGAAAACTAGATCCAATAAATAATACTATGTATAACAATTCGTGTATAATGGCTGTTTTGCCCTATCTCAGGGCTCGTCAGCATGCCTAGGAAACATTAAGTATTGCAATAATTATTAGCAGCATCAATGAATCCGACATGGACAGCCTGACCCATTTATTGCACGAGTCCGGGGGTTTTAAATCAGAGTTTTCCTTCTCCTAGGTGGACTGTCTTCCAAGACTGATGAGCTCCACCTACCCAACGTAACAACAAGCGCGCGATGAGTAATAACCCTAATGCTTATTTTTCACCATCTTTTATCACAAATTGCATATATGAATTCCTGCATAACATCTGCCCAGGTTTTAGCTGTCTCGAAGCTACGTCGTGTTGCTTTTTTACTATTTCCTCATTTTGATAGAAATCCATCAAAAAGTTATAAAAATAGTGTGTGGAAAAATTTTGCATTGTCGAGCTTCGTAACCGTCGCACATTCTTTCGGTTGTTTTCGGACTCTTGATAGCTTGTTTTTATCGTGTTCGACTGAGACAAAAGATTTATGTTGTGATATTCACAAAGGGGTGACTTGTGAGGATTGCTTGCTGTGTGAAATCTGTCACCTAAAACATATCTCCTGGATGTGCCTGTCAATGGATGAATCATGCTACCATCCTCCACCTGTATCATATCATTGTCACTTTTTCTGTATTCTGCTGTTGTCAGCATAGGGACACTCATTTCCTAGAAGTGTCATGACGACAAAATTAATAATTTATTTGTTCCATTTTATGGGTTTTCAGAATATTCTAAACTGTTTTCCAGTCATATCTTAAGTTAGCCTTGACTGAACAAAAATGTTGCAGGGCAATGAATGTGCACAATACACCAGTAATATGTAGATTTTTCGTAAACGATACCTTTGATGGTGGTTTATCCAACGATGGTACCTCAAAACACCTTCTGTTATCTTTCCATAGCTGTTCGGTCATTTCTTTACTGACCCGGCACTCTAAGTGCCTGACAAACCCACAAGCCGTGTCGCAAAGAAAAACAAGAGGAATATGCTTAAATGATAAATAGAGATCGGCAGCATGTCTTACTGACTCCTGTAAAGTCAGAAACTTTGAAGCTGCGGTTACCTGAAAGGAAAGGACACCCAAAAGGATTATTTTTAGAACACCCAGAGTAAAAATTCTATAAATGTAAATTTTATAAATGCTCTAAATGGTATAACACTGTATACGTCTAAGACTAGGGCTACGGTTGTCTAAGAAAACAAGATGATAAATGCCCTGTTACAGGGTGCAACTTTTCTCGCAACTTGCAATGCAATTCTGCTCTTGAGAGATGTTAATTAGTGTCAGTGAAGATGTTCGATATGCTGAGAGAACAATACGAAATATAAGTTGTACTTTTGTAATTTACATGTCTCAAAAGTAGAGTTGCATTGCAGGTGAAATATTTCTATACTTACGCCATGGCGACAAACAATGTGGTAGAAACCACCAGTATGCCCTGGCACTTTTGTGAAGCCATGGCAAGGACATGAACCAACCAGCAAGGTTTCATACAATGACCGCAAATCAATGAGCATTCTTGCCTGACGCGAAGAAATAAAATGCAAGTTATTTCGTGCAAATTAATACCAAGTCACAATCGTAAATTACAGTAAATACCTTTGATTTGCCTGAAATTGCTATATTACACAAATGACAAAGTTCTTTTAGCTTCTCGACACTGCATTGCTCAATTGTGTTCATGTCAACTACTTGAGTGGATATCCAATGATGCAAAAGAGCTGGATCACCTGTGCAACAGATGCATAATTAAATTCACTTAAAAAATCAATTCTGGTCCAAATAACCATTCATGGTCACAAACAAGCTGTATTATATTGCATTTATTATTTTAATTGAATGGCTAAATTGTACTATGAGTAATGCTACAAACCTTTATTAGGTTTGCCATATTGCTTGAGAAAAGCACTTTTTTTTCCCCTTCAGTGTTGAACAATTTTGTACCTCTCAATGATGGGGCTATGACTGGTGGAATGGTGGAAAAGTAGATAGTGGCCTTTTCCGATCGTGTGTAGGTTGTCTTTTCCACCAAATTGTATTTTAATTTCTCCAAGAAAATCTCAAAGGAAATAGGATCATCTTCCTCACAATCTATATCTTGTAGTGGTGAGTAATCAATCTACAATGAAAATGCGAATATTTTGTGTAAGAAGCCCTGGCAAATCAGAGGGATCTGAGAACAGGCTAAAGACCAGCAAGGACATTCTAATAATTGAACACTACTAAAGACCAAAATGTTACTAAAATTCTCATGTGGCTTTTCTGGTCCATGAATGCTTTACCTCGCTAATGCTGCAGCAATTTTTTTCATTCCTATCCCCAAAATACACTTCACCAACAGTACCACAAATTCCACAAACACCTGAATCCATATTGCGTTCAGTTATTGCCTCAAAGCAATAAAACCCATTGTACAAATGTGTAGCAATACTTTCCAACTCATTTTCTGTTGGCGATTCCTTAATAAATACAACAGGATACTTTGTTAATATTTAGAGCAAGACTAAAGGTCCTGTTACACAGTGCAATTTTTTTTGCAACTTGCAATGCAATGCTACTCTTGAGAGATTTTAATTCGTGAAGTCACACTTTGCCAATGTTACATCAGTCAAGAGTGGAGTTGCAAGTTTCAAGAAAAATTGCATCGTTTAACAGGGCCTTAACAAATTCCCATACCAGACGATTTGCCAATTTTATTAGACTAGTCCTATTGTAAATACTAAGACTAATCTGACACTGACAGATTCTAGGCAGTTGTACAGCATACTATTGCATAGTACATACACAATCATCTTGAAATTACCTCAACTTTCTGGACCATCACAGCTAATTTACTTTTTATGGCTACAGAAATTGGCACTCCTCTTTTGAACAATTCTCGGAAGTCTAATAGAATTTCAAGTGCCACCAGAACCTTGTCACTAATATTAAACAGACCTAAAAGGCAATAAAATTGAATCAAATTAACCTTTGTCCCTGAGCCAACATGTACACTGTGAAATAGAAACTCACCTGTCAACATAGAATTACTATACTACAAAAAATATTGAACTGTATATACTTACCTAATGTGTAGGGAAACACTTGGTGCATAGCAAAGCAACATGAGCAATCTTTGACTAGCATTTTGACTGTTTTGAATGGACATCCATTGGTCATTATGATTGATCGCCCACGTTGATTTGGGTGTGGCTTGGACTGACCAAGAGGACTTTTACACAAATCACACAAAGTTTGGTCTGGTTCAAACTGCTCTGGCCACCCGGAAAAATCCATTTTACCTGCTGCCTGAATAATGGGTTTTGGAATGACATATGGCAACTTTAACTTCATTTTAAGTCCCATGGTTGCCTTGCGAGACTTGCTCCCCTTCTGTCAATTGTTGTCAAGGAACTGTCTGGCACTATTGGTGGGGGAAGGTCTGCTGACACACATTCGTTGTGTGTAAAAATGCCAAGAGCCAATAAAAGATGGATGTGGGTGCAAACTTTTCGGGACTTTTGCTGCTTGCTCTTCAACATACCTTTGCAGTCTTTGGAACAGCATTTAATTTCCTTTTCAGTTACCTTGACATGGCAATATCCAACAGTGTTGTTTGTGGTTGCCATTCCAAAGACGCAATACATAGTTGGAGAAACATGCACAACAACTGGAAATGACTGTGCCTTTGATGCATTTGCCAGAGGGTCCACAATAGGCTACCCCAATCCCGATATCCCGATGTTTTTTTTTTAAAATTCTCGATATCCCGACGCTTTTATAGTGAAATCCCGATCCCGCCTTGCAATTTAGTAACCTATGTCCGTTTTATAGCGAAAATTCATACAATATTTATTACATGTGAATAAAGTATTTTGTTGAATCTTTTCAGACTCAAAACCTCTTCAAATTCGTCAAACGGCATATTTTAAATCCCGTATCCCGTCATTAAAATATTTCATATATCGGAATCCCGAGGCACGAATTACGAAAATCCCGTATCCCGCAAGAAATTTTATTCCCGAATCTCGCATCCTATTTTTTAAATATCCCGCTTCCCAATCGAAAAATGACCTATTTCCCGCATCCCGAAAAACCTATTGTGGACCCTCTTGCCACTTCTGCCAGGGTTTTTTTTGTTTCATCATCACAGAGATAACTGGAAATGACCTCATCTGATATCCCATTGAATGTCTGAAGAGGAGTTGTACAATCTCTGGTGGATTCCAAATGCTGACAACTAAAGCTTGCCACTTTTTGGCTGTTAATATGAATGGCTCTATTCTGTTTACACAGGTGATGCTGACACATAGATGAAGCCTCTTCACGAACCACAATACATCGATCATCATGGGTACTGGTATTAACCGAGTAGATTGATAACCCGTCTGATGGCTGCACCACCAAGGTACACTTAGGCAGCAATGGACGAGGCTTTTTTTTAGGGACATATGATCCTCCAAGCTCAAAATTGCATCCTGAACAACTTGGTGGCTTGTAACGGCAACTATATTGCAAACCACAATTTGGACAGGAACCCTTGCCACACTTGGACCATCCTGAGGTTAGCTAATTGTAAAAAATACACATTTAAGCACCTACCAATGCCTTGTCCCAACAGGCAGAGTGTGGCCTGATATATTAGATAGGCATTGACAAAATACTCCTGCCCGATGCAAATCAACGCAAAATAAATGGCACGTGAAAAGCGTCTGATATGTCGTATTTATAAAGTTATTTTTGTGTTCATCCAACTATATCTGTCAATTCTAATGTAGTTCAGTTCATAACATTAAAAAATAAAGATAATTCGAAATATTATAAAACTTACTACAAGCAGAATATTAATACAAGCAGAAAAATTAATATTTCACCTTGGCTTTTGTCGTATCTGCTCCCCCTTCTTCCGCTGCGACATCAGATAGGCCGGAAGACGCCATAAATAATATATAACCCGAAGTTGTCCCTCAAAGAACTTTTATAAGAAAGAACCGATGAAGCCAGCGAGCGAACGTAGAAGCGAAAAACACTATTTTAGGAAATAACCGATGATTTGATGTAGCCAGCCCAGCGAGCGAGTGTATAATAATAATAAATTCATACAGAGAGCGCCTATGACGTTTACATGGGAACGATTTTTATTGGCTACAGGTCAACCAATTAGAATGCACGTTCTGAGGACTGCGACCTTACTGCCGACCACGCCCATATAAAAATCAGATGTTGAAAGTCAAAGCGTAAGGAAGTAGCGAAATAAGTCCCGCCTACCGGAAGTGACTTCATAATTATATTAAGTATGCGTGTCCGACCACGCCTACAAAAAATCGAAAGTTGAATGTCAAAGCGTAAAGAAGTAACAAAATAAGCCCGCCCACCGGATGTGACATCATAATTCGATTAGGTGAGCGTGTCCGACCACGCCCACAAAAAATCGGAAGTTGAAAGTCAAAGCGTAAGGAAGTAGCAAAATAAGCCCCGCTCACAGGAAGTGACGTCATAATTAGATTAAGTGGGCGTGTCTGACCACGCCCATCGAAAAACCGGAAGTCAAAAGTCAAAGCGTAAGGAAGTAGCGAAATAAGCCCTGCGGACCGAAAGTGACGTCATAATTAGATTAAATGGGTGTGTGTGACCACGCACATTTAAAAACCGGAAGTCAAAAAACAAAGCGTAAGGAAGTAAAGAAATAAGCCCCGCGGACCGGAAGTGACGTCATAATTAGATTGAGTGGGCGTGTCTGACCACGCCCATCGAAAAACCGGAAGTCAAAAGTCAAAGCGTAAGGAAGTAGCGAAATAAGCCCTGCGGACCAGAAGTGACATCATAATTAGATTAAGTGGGCGTGTCTGACCCCGCCCAATAAAAACTGGAATTTAAAAGTCAAAGCGTAAGGAAGTAGCGAAATAAGCCCCGCGGACCGGAAGTGACGTCATAATTTAATTAAGTAGGGGTGTCTGACCACGTCTATTGGAAAACCGGATGTCAAAAGTCAAAGCGTAAGGAAGTAGCGAAATAAGCCCCGCTGACCGGAAGTGACGTCATAATTAGATTAAGTAAGCATGTCTGACCACGCCCATTTAAAAACCGGAAGTCAAAAGTCAAAGCGTAAGGAAGTAGCGAAATAAGCCCCGCCTACCGGTAGTGACGTCATAATTAGATTAAGTAGGCGTGTCTGACTACGCCCATCGAAGAACCGGAAGTCAAAAGTCAAAGCATAAGGAAGTAGCGATATAAGTCCCGCAGACTGGAAGTGACGTGATAAGTAGATTAAGTGAGTGTGTCTGACCACGCCTATCGAAAAACCGAAAGTCAAAAGTCAAAGCGTAAGGAAGTAGCGAAATAAGCCCCGCTGACCGGAAGTGACGTCATAATTAGATTAAGTGGGCGTGTCTGACCACGCTTATTTAAAAACCGAAAGTCAAAAGTCAAAGCGTAAGGAAGTAGCGAAATAAGCCCCGCTGACCGGAAGTGACGTCATAATTAGATTAAGTGGGCGTTTCTGACCACGCCCATCGAAAAACCGGAAGTCAAAAGTCAAAGCGTAAGGAAGTAGCGAAATAAGCCCCGCGGACCGGAAGTGACGTCATAATTAGATTAAGCGGGCGTGTCTGACCACGCCTATTTAAAAACCGGAAGTCAAAAGTCAAAGCGTAAGGAAGTAGCGAAATAAGCCCGCGGACCGGATGTGACGTCATAATTAGATTAAGTGGGCGTGTCTGACCACGCCCATCGGAAAACCGGAGGTCAAAACTCAAAGCATAAGGAAGTAGCGAAATAAGCCCTGCCCACCGGAAGTGACGTCATAATTAGATTAAGTGATCGTGTCTGACCACGCCCATCGAAAAACCGGAAGTCAAAAGTCAAAGCATAAGGAAGTAGCGAAATAAGCCCCGCTGACCGGAAGTGATGTCATAATTAGATTAAGTGGGCGTTTCTGACCACGCCCATCGAAAAACCGGAAGTCAAAAGTCAAAGCGTAAGGAAGTAGCGAAATAAGCCCCGCGGACCGGAAGTGACGTCATAATTAGATTAAGCGTGCGTGTCTGACCACGCCTATTTAAAAACCGGAAGTGAAAGGTCAAAGCGTAAGGAAGTAGCGAAATAAGCCCGCGGACCGGATGTGACGTCATATTTAGAATAAGTGGGCGTGTCTGACCACGCGCATCGGAAAACCGGAGGTCAAAACTCAAAGCGTAAGGAAGTAGCGAAATAAGCCCCGCCCACCGGAAGTGACGTCATAATTAGATTAAGTGATCGTGTCTGACCACGCCCATCGAAAAACCGGGAGTCAAAAGTCAAAGCGTAAGGAAGTAGCGAAATAAGCCCCGCGGACCGGAAGTGACGTCATAATTAGATTCAGTGGGCGTGTCGGTGATTCATAGCTTTAGGTAAAAGAAATTGTATATTACATACCAAACCCACAATATAAGGACTGCCGATGCTGTGGCTCTGTCTGTATCTACAAAGAAACAAAACAATTGCTAACACTTATATGATAGAAATGTCTTTACGGAAATATTAAATATATGTTTAATTTCAGATATACATGTTTAATTTAATGAAGAAAGAACAATATATTTTGAAGCTAGGATCAATGGCATAACAAGGAATAGCATACTGGATCATCTCTTATTGATTGAGCGTTACTACAGCAGGAAACCTACACAAACTAACTATATTTACACTGGATAATTCTGTCAGTTCTAAACAGTTCATCCTGCAGTAAGCAACATCTGTTGTGAAAAATCACCTACCAGCGTAACATATGTTTCGCACCATTCAACCATGAACGACGAATGATAACATCCTTGTCTGCAACAATATCACCCTGACTCTTTTCAATTTGCCCCTAGACAGGTTCAAACAACAGATATAATTAAAAGCCCAAGATGATAAGAAGCACACCCAAGATTGGAGTTACCTGAAACACATCAAGTAATAAGATGTTTATTTCACATGTTTACATACCCTGTGTTTTCTCTATTATAAAATTATTGCCACCACTAAATGCGGAAGATACTTTTGAACCAAGAACATACCAAACTATTCATTAACCTACCATTTTCCTTCGGTGTAGTGTGCTAAGAAATGTTGTTAACAGATAACGAGGCAATAGATCATAATGAGCTTGCAACTGTATCTTTCACAAATATAGCCAAATATTGGAGCAAATATCATATAGCTTGCAATAAATATTGTCTGGAGAAGGCCTCTTAAGGCATAATTTATGCTGAAAACAATAATTAAATAATGATTGTGTACAAAAATTATATTGCATTCACATGTGATAGCAATTCTGACAGGATTGGGTAATGATAAAGGAGTGTAATCATATCTTGTGTAATAATTGCAGTAAAATTAACAACCAGCATGTCCAAATTTTGCTTGATTGCATACAAATATTAGTTGAATTTGAGGTTGATATTGTTATTATATTTTAACTACAATGTATAGGTTGGGATGTTATACCAGGAAATTACATGACAATTATCAATTAATTGTCCGACTTTTAGAAGTCTTCACTTCAGTCTCACCATGCACAAATATTAAAGCATGTACGAAATTTTGCGAGGGTGAAGTGTCAGAAGCGATCCATATAGTTGAGTAAATCAAGAAAAAGATAGCAACAGTGACTTATTAAAACACGAGGCGTGGTTTTTCTTTGTGGTGAAAAAGGTTGAATTTTCAGGATTTTTTTTTTTCTTGCTCAGAGAAGTGAGAGAACGAATGGTGAAACATCTTGTAATACGATAGGTAGCCCAACATTCGTGTTCTGTGCGCATACATGCTACTCAGTGATTAGCATTTATTAATTTATACTAAGGTTGGCAACTTTATCACCAATTATCAATAATGCATACATGTCAAACTTCGATAATTTGGATTCAAAACTATAGTCAAGAACCTCACCTGTGTCAACCGAAATAACAAAATCAATTCCAAAGTTTGCAGTGAACCTCGCGCTTAGACCATGTGCTATCATAACTCACAGCAATCTCTGCAATATCTGACTCAACAATGACTGTGCTATTTCCATATCTACGAGACTCATCATCGGTAACTTTCAACTCTCCGCCTAATTCCCAATCATGCAAGGACTGAAATGCACTTGCTAGGTTTGAAAGTTCAATCATTCGATAACCATACTCGCCATCAAAATCCTCTCCTATCTATATCTTCACTTGTAAGCTTTCGTATTGAAGCAGTTTCATTCAGTGATGTTGACCCACATGGCATTGATGTTGATGATGAAACACACTCAGAAGAGCTACTTTGACCATGGAAGCATGATTATCTTGCTCATAAATCTGAATCCTGCAATATTAGAACAGAGTACGAAGGTATTTTATAAACAAAATCATTATCTGAGTATAATCTTTTATCCAAATTTAATAATTATCCAACAATCACTGTAAAAATAATTATACACAGTATCTCAAACTTAGATAAAATCGACAAACTTACAGGAGATATCTCCCAGTAGTTGTTTTTCAAAATATTTATTTGGTTGTCTTTTAAAAGACAATTGTTGAATGGTTTTATAAAGCTCCACTCTTCACTCTTGATGCATCCGCCATTTTAATTTAGTTTTTTCAATACTTCATGTTGTGCAAATGAAATGGATTCACACCAAAACGAAAAATATAAACAAAGCTCGCACATGCGTAGAAGCGAAAGGAAATTGCGGTGAAGAGCGGTGGAAATTGCGGTGAAGAGCAGTGGAAATTGCGGTGAAGAGCGGTGGAAATTGCGGTGAAGAGCGGTGGAAATTGCGGTGAAAAGTGGTGGAAATTGCGGTGAAGAGCGGTGGAAATTGCGGTGAAGAGCGGTGGAAATTGCGGTGAAGAGCGGTGGAAATTGCGGTGAAGAGAGCCGAAATTGCGGTGAAGAGCGGTTGAAATTTCTTATTTTTTTGCCTGTTTTAAAGACACGGCTTCTGCGCGTGCGCCAGCCTGGGGACTCCACCCGAAGTTGATAATCCCCCGGATTGTTCAGTCTAAAAACCATGACCAGCCGACAATTTAAGAAAGAAATTCTCAATCTTTCAAGAGCACTGAGTCATGTCGTCGAGTAGAAAAGAATATTATGCTAGTAGAGATGCCTCTAAAGTGTATTTGTTGGGTTCTTTCCCTCGATGGAGAGCGTTTAAGGAGCAGCATAAATTGAGAACAGACAAGGATGTGGCGGATATGCTTCTTGACAGCTATCTTGCGATGAATCGTATAGTTTGGTAAGTATAAAATGATAAAACCTCTGACCTTTTTTGT